TCACCGCCTTGGTTCTTGACTAGGTTAAGCTGTGGCGCGAGCCCAGCCTGATCTAATAAAGCTGCCCGTGGCTGGCAGACACCACTGAAAATTACCCTTGTTCCTATATGTGGGCAGTCCAGATTGGTGTGGCTAATGCCACTTCCAGGTATTTACCACAGCAATTACGTGTCTCTGGTTAGGTTGGCTGTTTTTTCTTATTCTGTTAACTGAATCTCCCTGCTAGCAGCCATACAATTTAAAAAAAAAGTTAAAGTAACCCACAACTGTTAAAAAGGAAAACTAAAACAAGCTAGGCTTTACCCAGATGTGTAGCCACAGTGCTAACCGCAAGGCAGAGAGGAGCCTTGGTGATCCCACAGTAACAATGCTGGGCTCTTCCCCTACCACTAACACCATCATTTGTAATTGGTTGTTAAACTGAGTTGTTTCTCAAGCTAATAAAAAAAAATCCGTTCTCATTCAGCATCACCAAAATGACATTTATGTTATTCAGGATTTTACCATTATTCTCTCCTTTCAACACAGAGCTGTCAGCAACAGCACATAATTTTTTATGCCTGCACATTACAAGACATTGTATAAAAAGAGAGGTGGTGTAGATGATAAAATTGATGTGAAAGTTTTCACCATGCCCTACCAAAAAGCCAAATAATTCAAAGCGGGTGGTAATGGAAAGTTCCCGACTCTGTGCCTCCTGTTTGGGGCTTGCCTCCTGGAAGCTCCCCCAAAGCTGGTGAGTGCCTGCACAATAAAGTCATTCACTCTCCAGTGAGGAGTCTAATAAAAAGGGGAGAAACTAAGATTGTCAGATGTCAGTGTATCAGATAATCAGTGCTGCCTTTTTTTTTTTTTTTTTCCCTTATTCGCAAGCAGTAGAGTGGCAGATAAGGATATATACCAATCACAGACATAATGTTTAATAAAATCTCATGGTCTCTGTCACTCTGGCCAGCTTTCTGCTACATTTTATAGGTCACAGTCCATGAAATTTCACAGGAACTTTCATATATATTCTCTGTAGCACAGTATGACAGTTATTTGTTATTAAACCATATAATTTAGGGAGGATGAAGATGCTTTATCCAAAACAACATGAGAGGTAGTCTTTCATACAGTGATGTATGTGTCTCTCTAATGTATCTGTATTTTGGGATGTCTGTACAATTCTGCAAGCTGCTTATTTTTTTTTCTAATGGGAAATAATAAATGTATATGATTTAATAATGATTGTACTATAAGAGGCCAGCACACTCATTAACTTTAAATTCAGATTACAACCTTTGCTTGTTTTTTGACCTGCTGACCCAGACTGTCACTACAAAAAGCTGTCATCCTTAGTCATGAGAAACATGAGCAGCAGAGAGATAATAGTGGTAAAGTCAGTGCTGAGCATTCCATCCCGCTCCCAAACACCAGGGAAGTCCAGAGATAATGTCTGGTGGGTGCAGCTTTTATTAGTTTTGGCAGCCGCAGGAGGAGAGAAAGGCGAGTGGGGATCGGAGGTTGAGAAGGATCAAAGGTTGAGAAGAATAACATGGGGAAGTGTCTCTCTCTCTCCAACCCAGTGGTTTTGTAAGAGAATATGCCTGCTTATATGATATAAATCAAATGTATTCTTGATGTTTTGGTTGTAGTACATTGTCCCATAGGCCTGATACCTCTTTTGGGATGTATAGAACCTACTGGCTGTGAGCTAAATGTCCCATATGTGTGTTTTTCATTATAAAAATCCTGTGGGGGACGCTTGGGAGACAGAGGGTAAAGGAGAGAAAGGGTGAGAAACAGGCAAGAGAAGAGCAGAGTGGAATGCTGGCTCTGTATCACTACTTGGGATAGAATATAGTTGTGAGCCATCAAAATTGCTGGTTTGCCCCAGCTTCAGTGGTGACTTGACAAGTCCCTTTATCCATTGGTCCATGTTACTGGTAAAGTATTGCCCCACTTCAGCTCAGGAGCAAGCCCTGGAAGTGGTCAGGATTGTGTATCCACAGAGGTGGCCATTCTTGCAGCTATATGTGGCATATAGCAGCTCGCATGACCTGCAGCTTTTCTTAATGAAACCAGAGAAGAGCCTGCAGTGTGAAAGCCCTCGGGGCTTGTAATCTTACTCAAATATCCATTTTGGGAAAAAATTTGTAGAGTTTTTTTAGCAGCACAAAATGTGTGAGGGTCTGCAGATAGCTGTAATAATTCCTGCTCACTCAAATCGCAAAGCATACCACTATCAAAATTTAATCTGGACTCTTTGGAGCATAATCATATTTCACTCATTTTCCTTCATCCTTTTGCTTGAGATAAATGAACCCCTTCTGTGCCACCACCAACCCAGAATTCATAAGCCAGTATTTTACACCCGGGACAAGGAATGTAGCAAGTGGCATTTTATGACCCATCTCTCATTCCCCTCCCTTCAACAATCAATAGCATTTTCAGCATATGTCTCTATTTAAAGTTTACTTACAGCTTTCATTTCAAAATGAGATGACAGCAGTCGTTTTATTGCCCAGCACTCCTGAGCCTGCCTTTGTTCATAGGACACTGCGCTCTGGCAAAACCGATCTTTACTTGGCAGGGTACACCCTGGGAGTGATACTTCTTGGAACGGGAGAACCTCTGGCAACTGACCAGTGTCACTGCTGAGCTGTGCTATGTCTTTGATTTTTATCCCTCCAAATTCATGCCTTTTGGCAATAGTTCATTCAAATCTGTTTTGGTTAGCCATTCACCTTTAGTGACAGTGATTCCTTTGAGGTGCTGGAGGTGCACACGCAATGGGAGGAAGAGAAAGCAGACAGATGTGGTTTATTTTTTGCAGCTGGATTAGAAAACATGCAAGATGTATATCCAAATACACGTGGTTTTCCTGGATTTTCAGAGTCTTCTCTTTATCCTCTTAGGGCTTTTACCCAAGTACATATCCCTTTCCTCTAAAATCCCTGAAACAGCTGTGAGTTAGGTGCTGAGGTGGCTCTTTTATTTGGGACTTCAGTGTTTAAGGACATGCCTAGCAGCAATTGAGAAGGCAGCAGCCCAGTCCCTCTCAATGAGTCCCTAAATTGCATGGGGTGCAGATGCCATGCAGTCAGTATGGCATGTACATATTTATGGATCAGTAATTCCTCCAAATTACTACTCCTGCCATCCTGTGGCCTGCATGACCCTTAGTTTCAACGTCTCTCTCACTGCAACATGAATCCTGGTGCTGTAAGTGCTGATGTGTGTGTCACTCATTGCAATGTCCTCCTCACACTGAGCTCCAGCTAGTGTAGGTTTTGTGATTATTGTATCCTGCCTTATCTTGAAGGCCCGAGCATCATCCTCCTGCTTCTCCAGCCTGAAGAAATGGGAAAAAAAAAAAAAAAACAGGTGGAAAGATTCCTTAAGGGATATGTTTGAGGATTGTCATGCCAGTTCCTGACTACCCAAGTCTTGGTCATTTCCCAATCTTAATTTATACATGTGGAGACATAGCTTTTGCTAGCATCAGTCTCAAATCCTAGTGATGTCAGTCAAATTTATGCTAAAAGGTATTCTTCAGACCATCTTTTTCTCAGGAAAAAAAACCCAACTTACCTCAATCCTTGCAGACTTTGACAATCACCCCGAATCTTTTAAATAATACCTTGCATTTGATGTGGTTTTGATTATACATTTACCTGTGCAATTCCCTACCCACACCATGTTTCTTACACACACACCCCCCTTTCTAAGCAATTATAGCCTAAATGAACCTAACTCCCTCATCTTAGTAAAAGTTACGACCTTCACAAGTTAAAGGTGAAATATAGTTTGGTCCAATTCTGCTCTGTGCCCATGTATCCGTATACCTGTCTTATTGCATAAAAACCATAAGAATAACTTGTATAAAATTTTGACATATATTTTGTTTGCTATTATGGTTTGTCAGATGTTTCATTATATCTTGGACACACATAAGTAAACAATTTCTAAAGAAAATGGACTATTTGCAGTCATCTGCTGGAGGCCTGCAGCCAACACTTCACACCATTTGTCAAGAAGATTTTTGCCATGGAAGCGCAGGGAGCGGTGGGGACTGGGGGAGCCTGGTGCAGGGCTGGGGAGAGGGCGAAGACTGGTAGTTGCAACTATGAAATCCGAATGAGGAGAGGACAGAAGTGTATGTTACATCAGTCACTTAATGCCTGGCCAACAGACTTTGCAATGGTTGTTTGAAGGGCAGAATGACACAGGAGATATAAACATTTGGATATAGAGGTTCAGATTGCTGGGATGTGCTTGGGCTGTGCAAGGAACAGAGTGAGGGCTCCAGTCCTGAGCTGATCGTTGTGTAGTTGCTTCTCCCAGAGCAAATATTTGCATAAATGTATATTCCAATAAAGCTGTGTAGCATCCTAACAATATTGAAAGCACAGGAAAGACTGTGAGACTTCAAACTAGTCAACAGGTTTCCACATCTTTTTGGTGTAAGGGCCAATAGCCCTAAAAAAAACCCATCAAAATGTCTATGTTTTGCAGAGATTTCCCCAAATAATAGGGGTCAAGTTCCCTACCACATTTTATTGCAATACTCCTACATAGACAAACCTTATTTTGTCGATTCAGTGGAATTAATCACATATTCTCTATATGGAGTTCAGTAGAATTAATCACATAGTCTTTATATGGATTTGCTATGAATGAGAAGGTATATTAATATACAGGCAGACGGTGAATATTACAGTGAATAGTTTCCTGTTAACACAGAGCATTGCTGCGTCTCTGAGTTGAGACGACTAGCTTAAAAGAACATCTTTCATCTGTGTAAATGGTTTACTGGGGGGCATTGCAGATTGCTCTGAATAGAAATTTTTTCACAGAAACAGAGCTAAAAGGATAACACAAGTAATTGCATTCTGTAGTGCCTCCCAGGGCTTTACATGTTCTCCTCTATGGGGAAAAAAAAAATCAGCTTTTGGCAGCCTGGTGAATTTAGTAATTGTAACTAATGAGGCTGTTTCTTTTTGTCTGTGTTTTAGGATGGAATGGGGAACCTGAGGATCACGGAAAAGGGTCTAAAGCTTGAAGGAGATTCAGAATTCTTGAAACCTCTCTACGCCAAAGAAATCCGGTCAAGACCAGTAAGTTGTTGGGAAAGGAATAAGCACGTTTCTGTAACCCTAACTGTAAGAAACCATGAAGTGGCAGGGTGGTGTGGTTATCAGATAAATTACTTTGGCCACTTTATACAAACGTAATTTGGGGAGGGAGACAGTGGGTGTCCCTTGGGTACCTCATCCGGATGCTATATCCTCTGGGCAGTTGCAAGGTTGATACATGTGGGGTTAGTTTGTAGTTAAAATGCTTCCAGGACCACTGAGATTTCACACTGTCTTTTTGTCTCCTTTTGAGTTAAATCATAAACAGCCCTCAACTGAGAGACCTAATGTTTCCGAAGTAGAGGGATGGCAGGCAGTTGTGAAATCCAGCTCGATTGACTAGTTACTCCTTTTCTGCAGAGAGCAGAGAGGTGATGCGTTCGCACAAAGGGCCTGATCTGTTGTTAGCTGGAGCAATAAACCCATATTTCAGTCCTATTTCATGTTGTGTTTTAAAATTATGGCAGTTAAAATTCAATGCTGCTAGGAGAGACTGCTTGACAAAAGTGGCAAGGATGTTAACAACTGAAAATGAGAAAGAACCCAAGTGTGATTGAAATAACATTTTCATAGCGGCATTTCATTGACGGTCGGTGACTTTTGCTCTTTCTAATGCAATCCTGTTTGTCCTGAGCAGCTTTAAAATAGCTGAAACGATTAAAGAGTTTCCAGGATCCTTCTCAGAAGATGTCATCTATCTTGTTGCCCGATCCAAAGTGTTAATTTGAGTCAGATACCAACCTTCCATTTTGATAACAATGGCAGATAGCTAATTAAATAAAGTTAACATCCCTTTATCTCAGCATTTCAGTGGTCTTGTAGGAATTGGAACTTGTAGCATAATCAACACAACATCCAATACAGTATCCGATTTAATTATTGAAGGTTGTAACCTCTGTAAGATGGCCAGGAATTGATTTGAACGAGCATAATCATTTAGGAAGAAAAGTTAATGAGAAAACATTCATATCTATAAATGTTTTCACCCCTGAATTAAAACAGAACTGCAGAACCTTACATGTCATACACTTTGTAAGGTAAAATGTGTGGAAAAGATGCAGCACTTGGTTTGATAAATAGACTGACAAATTGCTACTTACATTTCTTTTTCTCTAGATAGGTTTCTGGAAATAATATTGGATTACTAAGAGAACTGAGAACGACTTCTTGCTAGTGGGCAGGTTACTGTTTACATATTATCATATTTATTTACATTTTAATATGGCGGGGGGGCAAAAGGTGTCCCCTTCTTGAGGTTATGAAACTAGTTTCCACACCCTTGGCAGTGTAATGAGTCGAGGAACAAGAAATATAAAGTAAGGCCTTTGTGTGTGTTATTTGCGTTATCCCACCTCCAGGATTATTTTTGCTGTTAGCCAGAGAAGGATCTAGCTGCAAGCCAGAAGGTCTGATCTACTGCCTAGTGAGCTGGAGCATCCCTGCTGGCTTCAGTAGATGAGTCCTGGAAACTGTATTAACTATATAGTTACATAAACCATGTGCATCGTTTCTCTGACTTCTCAGTGGAGTTCAACGGGACTAGCCTGTGCTGGCTTTCAGGTTGCTCACAATAATGCTGGAATTACTGTTGGGCTGGGGGCACCAGGGACGATCCTATTGATTTCAATCAACTTCTGCTTTCTTGTGCTATGTGTGAATTTGGCCTCTTGTAAGCAAATGAAAGAGTTGCAGTCAATCAAAGGATGCTAGTTAGAATATTTAAATAGAATATGTAAAAATATTATTAAATAGTCAACGCTATGCTTTTTTAAAGAACAGTAGTATGACGCAGTATTCTCTTGGAGGGGGAAGCATACTAGCAATTCCTGAACTTGATGAATATTGCTAAAATAAAGTGCCAAACTCAGCACTTGGTAATACAGATGAACATCCACACTAATTCCATAGTAATCCTCTCTGGGTTTTCGGAAGTGCATAATGCGGCTTTAAATATGCAAAGTGTAACAGAAACAATATGACAAATAACAGTAAAGAGCATCCCAGAAATAAGCTGACATATAATATTTTTCATATGTTTAATTAAACAACCTAAGAGATGTGTACAGTAATAGATAATGGTTTTGTATAAAGCTCAAAAGACTTCCAGATGCTGGTTATTTCTAGAAGACTTTAATTTATAAAAAAAAAGAATTTCACTATAATTCAGTGTAGTAAATGAAGAGGCGTTTGTGCTGCATGGAAATGGCAGAGGTAGAATAACTTTTTGTGTAAGTGGCTGCAGTCCCGTGACCTCCGTGGAGTGGGTTTTCCCACTCGTGTGTCTCTGCGGTGCTGCTCCCCATGCTGCCCTGCTGTGGGCAGACCTGGGCAATCCCTGCCAAAATATCTCCAAAACATGAGTTGTGATAATTCTGGAAAGCCTGATATTTGTCACTGGTGCCTCTTCTGTGCTGCATCTTTTAAGTCCCGGGAAGGTGGTAATTAGAAGTACACACTGACTTGCTTTCCTAGGAGCTGTGCCTTCTGGTTTAAAGATAGTTTTGGATTTCCACTTAAAAGTGGATTTCTTTTTCAAATTAATTTGGCAGGAAGGGAAGACCAAGGTTTAGAGAGAAGGAAAACCTCTCAAATGTCATACCAAGAGACTGGCTGTGTGGGAACCTCTGAGCTTCTGTAATTTGTGCCTTAAGGAGCTCTAGTAGGTTCTGCCCCCTTCATCACCTTCTGGACAGAGTAGTTGCATTTTGCAGTGCTCCTTTTGGAGGGTAACTCATTGCAAGTGAAATTACAGCCAAGAAGAACTGAACCTGTTGTACTGTGGCATGCAATTGACAGCAACCCAACAAAGGCATCTTTCTGGGAGTCCTTTTAAAAATGCTTCTTTCTGCATCCCTGCTGTCTCCTGTCTCAGGAATGACACCCACCAGGCTCGCTTTCCTTTTCCCTCACCCATTCAAGAGTGACCCCCCAAATCCCGCTGTCTTCATATAACGAGGGTCTCTGTTCCTGTTATTTCCCCATCCTAGTCCTGCCTCAGTAATACTCAGTTTGTAGTGCCTCCTGGATTAGGAGCCTATTTCTAAGCATCAGAGCTTACAAATAAACATAACCTTGTTACTGCACGAGCCTAAAGTTTATCTGGAGATTAATGAATAGTAACTGGTGGTAGCAGTGTTTGCACCCTTGTAGTCTTGTTTTAAAGAAATGAGATAAATGCATTCCCTTTTCCAGGAGTGATCAGAGCATCTTAAACTCCCAGCTGAACATATTGCACACTAAACAGTATTTTCCATGCCACTTGCATGGAACATGAGCATCTTGCTGCCTTTAATTAAGAAGTTAACTGGACCATGAAGTATTGCCTGTGTAAATAAAAGTGATTTGTACTTAGTCAAGAAGGTGCATTAGGAATCCTTGCATTTCTTTACTTGCACATAAATTATGGAGATTATTAAAAATTGGAAGGGTCATCTATAAACCCATCTGTAGCTCAGCTGCACTGTCACTCTCAAAATGTAGCTGTCTTTCTAACTGTTATAATTTATTGTGGACTATCATGTGAACCATCTGCTTGCTTATAAATCAGACAAACTTTGACTGAAAGTTGCACGCAGCAGCACAAATTGTTAATTTTATGTGCTGGAAAGCAACAGCAACAGCTTTGTGGTCTTCAGTCTTCATTGCCTTAATTTGAATAGAAATGTAAAACTGGAAATTTTCCTGCTTTTGTTGAGAAGAGATGCTAACAAGCAGGTTGCTTGAAACTTAGAGTAAGCACAGATTTAGCTTTCTTAGTGCAGTTGGGGTGTTTTGAAGCTTGTCACATCCAGGTCTGTAAGTAACTTAAAAGGGGCAAGACAGAGAACAGGCTATGTGCGTTTTCCATTCCAATAACAAGAGAAATAAAATCCTGTGCTGTGATCATACAGGAAAATCAAGTGAATTACTTCTCTCAGGAGCTGTGTGACAACCAATGAGATGATAATCTCAGCTTTAGGAAGCAGAGAAAGACATTGCCATGATAGGATTAGGATGTTTTTGCCCTTTCAATGTTCATTTCAAGTGCATAGATAGAAAAAATAAACCTCAGTTTGCAAATGTTTACACCAGACTTAAATTTTCTTACCCGAATCCTTTTAAAGACAAGAGTATGGATTTGCTTGACAAAGATTTTTTGCGGCATAAAGCTCTTGACTGAGGTCCTGCCCGTTCAGCACTCTGGCAGACTCTCCTGCTGATAGGTGGGTCTGGGAACACGGATCTAAACATGGGCACCAACCTTTCTTGTCTGTCCTCTGCTACTGGGGGGAGCTCCAAGCTGTTCTATGGTTGTACAGGTGTAAGTGATGGCAAAATTCACTGAACAGATTTTGAGGAGATTTTAAACATCTTCTTGTAAAGAGATCTCTTAGTGTATTTAGCCAGTTTCATGTTGAAGGTCTGCTTCCCATTATTTTTAATCAACTGAAAAAAGAATTTAGAAGAAGACTCCTATACATCAAAGAAAAAAGCCTGAGGCAAAGTACAGTGCTTTTTTTATTTTTCTTTCTTTGGGTGATGTTAGAGGTCCCGATTCCGCTCCCTGTGGCAATGAGCGTCTCACTGAGAGCAGCGTGCTCGCTCAGAGCATTGGAGCAAACCTGGTCTCATTTGAAGCCATACTAAATAACTAGTGACTACAGTGGAAGAAGGACTGGGCCTGTCATTAGTGCTTGGCTGTGATTCTGCAAGGGCATCTGTTTGGCCTAAAAAAATTCACAGTTGTGAATTAGGGCTGATAACTGCTATTCCCTTTACTGGTGTTTAGTAAATTCTCATCAGCATAAAAGCTAGACTAGCAAGCGCATAAAATATGCTTGTCTATACTTTACCTTCTCCCCAGCCAGTATTTGAATGATAGAAATTTTAAAGGAAGCTTTTAAGAGTGATAAATAATTATTTTGCCAATCTACTTGTCTCACTGTGTTCAGATCTGGAAGAAGAGTGGTATAATTTTAAAGCACAGAAGCAGTTCTGTAATG